TTGCAAATCGCTCCGCTCTAAACTTTAACAATGTTGCAAATCGCTCCTCTCAGAAATACAATAATGTTCCAAAGCTGAGCCGATTTTTCGGATTTTGTCACAGTTTACTACTGGTATCAGGAGAACATGATATGCGAAGAGGTGGCACGAGGAATTTTTGATACGTATCAAATTCTGACCGGTATTTACATTTTGGTATCAGGAAAACATACTTACCTTGTGTATCAGGAGCATGTGACAAGCTAGGAGGTAGCCTGGGTAGTAAGGAAATTAAAAGGTAACGTACCAGGAAATGAAGGGATATTATTAAAGGGAAATGAAGGGAAAATAATGGGAATCGTACCAAGAAATGGAAGGGAATGAAAGGGAAATGTACGAGGAAATGAAAGGGAAATGTGCAAGGAAATGAGAGGAAATGTGCGAGGAAATGAAAGGAAATGTAAGGAAATGACCGAGGAAATGAAAGGAAATGAAAGAGAAATGTGCGAGGAAATTAAAGGAAATGAAAGGGAAATGTGCCAGATATATAGGTAAAATAGATATATAGTTATTTATATATCCAGTTAACTATATACTATAGTAGTTAAAATAGATCTACGTTCATGGTTCAGATAGAAATGTGAATTTTTTTAGAAATGGAGAGTGCAAACCATGTTGTCGAAATATCGAACTAATTCTGAACTAGAGTCCTAAATAGTTCTTATTATTCAACCCTAGATGGCGAAACTGCATGAATATACGTTTAAGAACACGAAATCAATTTGGAATGGTTTTGAGAAAGCTAAAGTTTTGCCGCGATTTTGATCCATTCATCCATGCATTCGTGGGAACGTTCTTATTTCGAGAAAAGATTGGAAGAGATTCAAAGGGAGAATCTTTTATGTAACTGCAACTTCTGTATTATTTAGTAGTGAAATTATGTCTAAGACAAATACGTTGTACAATTATTTTACGTCACCGAAAACTGTCAAGCAACCAAATAATAAACCGGTGTCTGAAGACAAACCTGGAACACCAAAAAGGGCAAAGGAACAAAGGAACAAGGGTACATTGTGAAACAGTTCACATGGAAATAATTAATTGAGTTAGATTATTAATACGTATTATTGTTTAGTGTAAAGTTGTAATTAATATAAAAGTGTAATTCAAACAATAAAGGTTTAAATATCTAAACGAATAATATTTTATGTAGTTAAAACTCCAAACAGAGGAAAGGAAAATAAAAGTGAGGATCGAAAAAGAGTTTACAAAGACGATGATGAAGAAGAAGCGGAAGAAAAACCAATTAGACCAGCACAAGCAAAAAAAAGGAGATTAATCATTCCTGATGAAGAATCTGGAGAAGACTCTGGGGATGAATTTAAACCTGGTTTGTCTGAAGATTTAAATCAATAGTTGCCAATGAAAGGGAGTAATTGTTATTTAACTTTGATTTAGATGCAGAAGATGCATCTGAAGAATCTGATTCAGGTAGTGAGGGAGACCCTGAAAGTGAAGTACAAACACAGAGTGAAGAAGAAACACCAGAGGTAAAAAAATATATCTGCTTAAAAATACAGAATTTTGATTACTTAATCCAAAGTTAATTTCAGAAGAAAAGGAAGCTACCATCTGGCCCTGGTAGAAGACGTCAAGGAGGGTCAAAGAAAGTTACCCAAGTAAGCTAACAGTTACACATTGTTTTTATTCTTGACTATTTCGTATCTAATTCCATCAATTCAAATTAATTTCCATTAGGAAAAGAAAGAGTCCAAAGTATCACAACAAAGTCAAGGCTCGGGATCAAACAATAGTACTGTCGAGTCCTGGCCACATTTAAAATATGATTTTCTTCAACCAAATAAAATAAGAGATATCAAGAAAAAGTCTCCAAGTGACCCAGATTATGATCCAAAAACTGTCTATGTTCCATCAGAATTTTTGACTCAACAAACCCCTGTAAGATTGCAAATGTAATTTCATTCAGCTATTTGCTATATGGCATTGAATTTTCTGTAACAAATCTTTCTAGGCAATGAGACAGTGGTGGGAATTGAAAAGCAAACATTTCGACTGCGTTCTCTTCTTTAAAGTAGGAAAGTTTTATGAGTTGTACCACATGGATGCTGTCACTGGAGTCAAGGAGCTTAATCTTACATATATGCGCGTAAGTACCTCGAAGTTTTTCGCAAAAATTACGGAGGTATGAAAATAAACGTGATTACAGGGAGAATTCGCACATTCTGGGTTTCCCGAAATCGGGTATGGCCGTTTCTCGGGAAGCCTTATAGAGAGAGGGTACAAAGTAGCTAGAGTGGAACAGACAGAGAATCCAGAGATGATGACGCAACGTTGTAATAAAAGTAAGATACTAAAAATAATATTACCTTGAGCTTGATATGACCTAGTTCTGTGTATGGTATTTACAGTGGCTAAACCAACAAAGTTTGACAAAGTTGTAAAACGAGAAATTTGTCAAATAAGCACCAGAGGTACAAGAGTCTACACTGCATTAGATGTAGAAGCATCAACACCGAATTCAAACTACTTATTATCTCTTGTTGAAAAATGTTCACCTGGTTCAAACACGTCTCATTACGGAGTGTGCTTCTTAGATACCACAATAGGAGACTTTTACCTTGGGCAATTTGAAGATGACCAATGCAATTCTAGGATATTGACGTTACTTGCCCATTATCCTCCCGTTCACGTAAGTTCCGATCCACTACGCATTTATTCAGATTGGTCAAGTTTAAATTCATTTATCATATTTCAGGTTGTATATGAACGCGGTAATTTGTCTCAAAAAACATTGCAAATTTTGAATAATGCTTTAGCAGCATGTATCAAAGAACCACTCCTCCGTGAAACTCAATTTTGGTCATCCATAACTACGTTAAAAGTAAGCGTAACATCGTTATCTTTCAACATTTTTAATATACTATTTTATCTATACGGGTCTTTTTCACGACTTACAGAATCTTCACGAGGGAGAGTACTTCATGAAGCCAGAGTCTGGGTTTTCATGGCCTACTGGCTTGCAGAAATACCTTAATCAAAGTAAATACTTACATTTTACGCGTATAAAGTTTTACTATCATTAACATGTATTTATTTGTTTTTATTCAGATGACACTCTAGGTTTAACTCCCGCGGATGATAAAGAGTTAGCGGTGCATGCTTTGGGAGGATGCGTTTATCTGCTCAAAGAATATTTACTCGAGCAACAATTGTTGGCTCAGGGACGATTCAAATCGTACGTTCCGCCGGATTTCTCAACTGAAATCGCCACTTCTTCTAAATTTGCAAATAATATGGTACTTCACGAATGTCGCCTAACCACGTACATAATATTACACGAGTAAATTAATATTTATTGTTATCAGGTGTTGGACGCCATCACTATTAACAACTTGAGAATTTTTGGTGAAGGCTCCCTAATGAAAACATTGGATCGTTGTTGTACCCCGTTTGGGAAAAGGTATGTTTTAAGTAAAACTAATCATTCCGTATTTCTTTAATCAAACTCGTTATAGATTATTACGCGAATGGATTTGTCGACCGTCTTGCCGCAAAAATATTATAATCGAACGTCAGGAAGCTATACAAGAATTGATAGATCGTTCAGATACGGTGCAAACTGCTCGTAGCATACTGGCTGGACTTCCAGATCTCGAAAGATTATTAAGCAAGTGAGTCGGAATCATCGCTAACGAATAAAATAAATCATTGTTTGCGATGAATATTTAATACGCGTAATTGTAGAATTCATGGTCATGGAAATTCGGCAAAAATGAACAATCATCCTGATGGCAGAGCTATCATGTTCGAAGGTCACACGTATTCGAAAAGGAAGATTCTAGATTTCACTAATATCCTAAGCGGTTTCGAGGAGGTCTTGAAAGTAGTCGCCCTATTCGAAGGTACACAGTTTATTCGGGCTTAATAATAGCTAAATTAATCAGATTAATGGACGTGATCAAATATTTGTGGTTTAGATTTCAACAGTAGCTTGATAAGTCGGTGCATTAAGCTAGAACCGGATGGCGAATTTCCTTCGTTAAGAGAAACTTTAGATTATTTCGAGGTAATTAATACTATTACTTTTTAATGGTAGTTATTAAGCAAGACATTATCTTGCAACATGTATTTCAGACCGCGTTCAATCACGAGGAAGCCAAAAAAGAAGGATGCATCGTTCCAAAGGAAGGAGTCGACGACGAATACGATTCCGTTTTAATGGAGCTTGCAGACATAAAGAAAGATCTCGAACGGTATCTTGAAAAGCAAAGACAACATTTTGGCGTGAAAGTAACTTTTCACGGATCGGATAAGAAACGCTATCAGATCGAGATTCCAGAGTCGCAAGTGAAGAAAGTTGGTAGTGGATACGAACTTCAGTCGCAGAGAAAAGGATACAGACGTTACTATACCGCTGAGGCAAAGGTTTTATTTCTCTCAATGATAACCCGAGCGTAAAGTATTTGAAACTACTTGGCTTCCATTAATTGCATTAACCTTCGTCAGGAACTTCTGAGCAGGCAAATAAACGCCGAGGAACAGAAGAATAAAGTATTGAAAGATCTAAATAGAAGAATATTCGCGCAGTTTGGCGAGAAGTATGACATGTGGAGTACTGCCGTTTATAACTTATCTATCTTGGACGTTCTAATTTCCCTAGCAGAATATGCCCTCAGCGGTGACATGTGCGTGCCGGAAGTCAACGATGGCGCGGATGGAAACGTAATATCTATACGATTTCGCTACGTTATTTAAAGAAATCTAATGTATCGATACTAATTTAAATGTGTCTTAACAGATATTTATCGACATAAAAGACGGCCGACACCCATGTATTCTTTCGGATAATTTCATACCTAACGATACTTCATTGGGAATCGGTGATTCTGCTACTTTCGTAATTCTAACTGGACCAAATATGGGTGGTAAATCGACGCTGATGCGCCAAGTCGCGCTTCTTACGATAATGACACAAATAGTACGTTCTATTCTTGTAAAATGAATGGTATATACCAAACCGAAGCTAAACTTTTGTCACTTACAGGGAAGTTATGTTCCGGCAAGTTCTTGTCGTTTAACAATAGTGGACCGTATTTTCACGAGATTGGGAGCGAACGATGATATTTTGGCTGGTCAAAGTACATTTTTGGTAGAATTAACCGAAACCGCCGCGATATTGCAACACGCCACGCCGTACTCGTTAGTTTTGTTGGATGAATTAGGTAAGGAAACGTTTAATTATAGCCCTAACGATGCAATTAAGAAAGTATTCGTGCTATGGTATTGTGCGCATTCACAGGTCGCGGGACATCAACGTATGACGGCACAGCGATAGCCGCATCGGTCGTGAACGCGCTTACAAAATTAAAATGCCGTACATTATTCTCGACGCATTATCATTCTCTGGTAGAAGATTACAAAAATAACAAGGACGTTACGTTGGCTCATATGGTACGTCAAATCTCTAACGATTGTTTAATAAAATTTTTTAACGTTCATTTGTTTATAGGCGTGTATGGTAGAGAACGAGGAAGAGGATAAAATAACACAGGAAACGGTAACATTCTTGTATAAACTCAGCGAAGGGGCTTGTCCAAAATCATATGGTTTCAATGCTGCTCGATTAGCCGGCGTGCCATCCGTAATCACTAACAGGGCGCACGAAATTTCAAAAAGGCTCGAGCAGGAGACCAATTACAAACACTTTTTCGCTGCTTTATGTAAAGCGGACGGATCAGCTATAAGAAACCTCATCGCTGCAATGTAAAATCTGCGAAAATGTTAATCGATCGCGATTACATAATTCATTATTAAATTTCCATCGCAATATTACGCTTGATCGTTTCATATATTTATTATACCTCATTGTATTTTACGAGTATTGTTTGATATTACAAGCTAGTTTTGATAATAAAATGAACTGAACGAATTAAAGGAGTATGTTTGTTCCTCTCCTTACAACCTTAAAGACTACCTAGAAGTCACGAGAGTAAACGAGACGCGGTTGTTGCTTACAAAATTTTATTAATTAATGCCAGAGTACAAAAGGGCTACTTATGACGAATACGATGCGATATACAAACAATGTAATTTTACTCACACCAAACGACGAATAAAATTTCATCTCGAAAACGTAAAAAAAATCGTGCGTGCACGAGTCCTGCTGTGAAATAAATACAATTCTTATGCGTTAATATATCGTGAAACAAAGAATAAGCGGGGGAGTGAAGTTTTTCTAAACGAATATATCGTCGTTACATCCGATAGAATTATATATTTTTTGTTTTTTTTTTTGTTTTGTTTTTCTTTATATTATTCAAGGACCGTAAGGATGCGGAGCGATAAATAGAGAGAGCTCGTTGGTAAATCGAGCGGGTATGAATATTTGTGTAGTCACTTACTACATATGATTAGCAAGTCGTATCTCTGCGTAAATATGAATATACGCTTCTCAGTGCGCAAAAAGCCGTTTCTTATCAACGATTAAACAAAAATAAAAAAAAGGAACCGTGCTCTCTCTCTCTCTTCCTAACTCGCGCATGCCGTTCATGCAGAAGAAAAACTATATATACGATTAAAAAGGCACGGAAATTAAGAAAGCACTTGACTGTTTTAATGGGTTACAAGGATGTACTTTTATTTTCTTCGAATAACATATGCCTACTTCTAATGTACAATTCCGAGGTTTTCAATCGAACGTTATCTAAATATTAAATGTCTGTCGAGCGCGCTCTCACTCTTTCTCTCTTTTTTTTCTCTCATTTCTAACTGGACGTTCGCGTTAAATTCCTTTTCTATCATCAATTAGTATGTTTCCCTATCGAAAATACCAATCGATAGCCGCCTAATTTTAAGAAGCGTTGTCACCTGGCCGTTCTTCTTCGTAGGAAGAGTTATATATCGCGTCTCAGAATTTTTAAAGGATTTACCTATCGAACCAAGTCGAACCAAAAGTTACTTTCTTCTGTCTTTCTGTCTCTCTCCGCTCTCCTCATTCTTTTTCCTTTTCCCAAGCGTTCTAAACGTCGGATTAACGGTTCAAGATCCACCGATATCGATCGACACGGTATCGGTTTAATTAGAAAGGTGCCTTTCAAGACAAAACAAACCACGGTCGAACGTGGCAGTGGGAGGGGGCAAAATTTCTCGAAAATAGGGCATCGTTTCAATTGTTATCTTACACCCTTATTTTTTCCTCTCTTTTTTTTCTCTCCTTCGTTTTGATCGTGATTCAAAAAACAAAAAGTACTATTTTATTATCTTAAGAGTTACGCATTTACAAAACTGCGGGTAACGAGGATTCTTGAGAAGGGGAAGTATGCTCTTTTTTCGTAAAACTGAACGACTATTTAATACCCGTTTCGGCGAACAGGACCTAAGATTCGACCGTCGAGGGATGGACATTGCTCTTCTTCTTCTTCTCTCGGTTTTGCGTGACCCTCTCTCCCTCCGTGTCGTCGGCCCTTCCAGTACCCTTGCAATTAGTGGATACACAAATTCTGCCGATCGTCGTGAAACCAATTTCCAACAGAGGATAATAAATACAACAACACAACGGAAACGAATAAACAAAACACGAACCTATTTGCGAACATTGGAGGGCGATCCTTGATAATTTGCTTGAGAAAGCAAATCTCCAGTCAAATGAATGAAATATGTTATATGAACATATTGTGGCAGAAAACGAATGCTCTTTTGATTTTGTTTTAGGAATTAAAGGAATTGTTCCTTGTGAAAGTGGGATAAGTCCATCTTCGTTTGGGGTGATCGAGCTTTTTAAAGTAATTGTAGTGTACATGTGGTTTTTGTAACCCTATTAGGCCTTTAGGTAATGTAAATAAAAAGACATAAGATCATTTTTGTCTGTAGATTGACACCACTTTCACAATGAACGGCTCTATTGGAAACAGTACACCGAGGAGCGCGAAAGACTACGCCAGGCTTCCAGTTGGTGGAAGGAAACTAACGCCAATCCACCAATCGGGAGACTCCACGTCCCTAAAGTCGTTTTTCGTGCTTCCCAGGAGTACATCCGTCTTCTTTTCGGCTGAAAATTCGCTCCTTCGATGCAGAATCGCCCTAGAACAACATCTCGAACATAAAACGACAAACAATAGAAATGAAAATAACTTTAGAATGAATTTCGAACGAAAGAGTGAATCGTGGGTTTGCTCGAAGGAACGTCGTCGTCAGTCTTTTTCGTATTAGACTGGTCCTAGCTCGGGGACTGATTCGTCTGGAATTTTCGGACACTGGAAGGGTGAACGACGCGGAAAGGAGGATGCCGACGAGCGGTTAATCCCGATTCAGACTTTTACCAGAGTCCTGATGAGTATCCGCCAGGTGGGACTCGTCCGCGGGCCGGGGCCTTCGCGGCTGGCGACGAGTCGTTCGATTTCTCGCCGACGCTGGAGTTCGAGCTGGATGTTCCGTTTTGCACGGCTGGCCCGTTGTTCTGTGATTCCGTGTAACCGGCTCCAGTCACCGGATTGCCATCTGCGAAGAACACTTAAGCTCTTAAAACGAACATACTCGAACAAGTTACCTTTTCCTTCTTCCCTTCGATGCATGAAAGGTTAACACGAATTACAGCAATTGCTTGAAAGATGCTCGCGGCTGAGGGGGTCGACGGTGAACATCTTTCTTTTCGATGATGAATTCTTTCGTATTCTGACTCTGCTTAAAAGCATTGCCTTCACGTACACCAAAAAATGATAAACGCGTACTTGAAGGATTCAGAGTGCCAAGTAACGAAGTTCTGCAGTCGAGCATCTTTCGAAGCAACTGCAGCGTCTCTCTCTCTCTCTCTAAGGCACTATTACACAAAATGAGTTTGTTAGGAGTATTTTGATCATTGGAGCTCGAAGGATCCACCTCTTGTACTCGTGATTCTCCTGATTCTTCTCGTTGCTATGATTTCGATCCTAGGAGATCGATTCTACACCGCATGCAATTACTCATCAGACGTATAAAAAAAAACGTGTACCACGAACCAGTTCACCGCGACAGCGTTGAGAAACGAATTTTTTGCAACGTGCGGTCGCGGTCGCGTTCTCATACGCCTGATAGGAGCTTATAATACTGTCATAGAGATATCAAGGATTTCACGGGAGAAAAATAAAATAAACATGGCATGCTGATTTTCTCAGACCCTTGATTTTTTATCTACTTTTATCTGCACGACCGAAATGGGGACAGGGACGCAGGTAATTAACTCGACAGGCAATTTAAGCATAAAATCGTTAGGAACGACCAGTTGGTTCGATGCACTGATAAGAAACACTGTATGTATATATATATACATATTTATCTCGTGAGAGCTACCGTTTAGGCTACGCAATACAACACACGCAATCTTCTACCACGTGGTCATGAACTTACCGTCCTATTACAGACTATATGTTGACCTATGAAAGGGTGGGATAGAATTGCTCGAATCGTCATTCAAAGTATTTTTTTTTTTTGAAGAATGGATTCATTTTTAATAATGGTTGGTAGAGTCGAGATTCGAGCAATTCTAGAACAGGAAGATGGAAACTAGTGGGTGGAGATTGGACGGAACATCGGCACTGGGCAATCGACGATAGTACTAACTGTATTACAAATTATAAATGAAAAAGATTATTAAAACACTTTGCAAGCTTTATATTCTTTCTTTTTGTGATCAAAGTAACACGTTAAATGTGCCTAATTACCTAATTTGCACGATAAAGGTAATGGACGATGACGCAGAGAAATTGGAAGGTTCGAGGGCTGAAAGAGGGCGTTGCTTATAAATGAGAAAAATAGTGGCACACGTTACCTCGACACCTTCGTGCGCTGCGCCTCATAGGCGTCACGATAACTCCGTCTCCGGTGACCGGGTTGCGCGAAATGCAGGATCCACCTGCCAGGGTTTTCGAGCGGGTAGAAAGGCACAGAGGACGACAGTTCACAGCCCGGTGCACGCAAAGCGACACGCGCCAGAATTCGCCACCACCACCACCCCCATGCACCGACACGCCGTAGCAAAACCCACAACCGTAACCCAACCGTAATTGTGTTAGTGCACGCGCAAGTATTCGCACAGACTGGTCCAAGATGCATCCCCATTTTCAGGGATATCGATAATCAGTTGATTCGAGGTCAAGATGGACTCTAGGTTACTCGACTAGAGGAGTAAGGGGCTCGAAGAAACTAGGAAGTCTCTGATATCTTTTTAGGGACAAATTGGTGAAGATATTGAGGATTGGAGAAGCTTTAGTAGTAACAAAAAAATAACAGTCTGTGTATATAGATAATGATGGAAGGTACTACGAAAATTTAGTATCCTCTCGTCGAGTAGAATGCGTGTATTTGAAAACAAATCAACATGGTTGCTATGGAATACCCCACTGATTAATGCTTGGTACCTTGGACACGTTTGTGCTAGAGAAATCAGATAGAAAAATAAGACAGAAACAAAGTGTACTATACTATATTCTACTTGTATGAAATATGGCAAGCAAAAAGCAAACACAATAGGGCTCTGTCGAATCAAAATAACAATGAGAATGAACAAGTGTTAAGGTAGGGAGAAGTGGTCAGCTAGTAGTTCTCAAACTGTTCACAATTCACGAAATCGTCACACGTCAAACCCAGGCAATCGTCAGTCTTGGTGAAATCATAGAAACAATTCAAGGTCTATTAACAAATTCGTCCTATTAACCAATCGTCGACATGGTTCAATCGCGTATGTTAGACATTTAAAAAAAAAAATCGAGGTAAACAAACATGGCTGATTACTTGACGGCCACTCGCACAAGAACGAAACGAAAGTTAATAAACAGTTACTGGGATGCGTTTAATTTAAGTCAATGTAACTCGAACAAAATCGACTGTGCTTCGAAAGTTTCGCGCGAGAGAAACCGATGAGAATTACTTGTCGCAAGCGGGGGAGGTGTATTGCAGTGATTAGATTTTAACATAACAGGTAGAATATTCACGACTAACTCAAAATATGTGTTTTTATTATCGTGGCAGGCCCTGTTGTGAATCAGAAAACGTCCATCGACCAAAAAGTTTCGAGTATTAAATTGTTCGTTAACGTAAAATCAATATCTTTGACGTTTCTACGAGTCTACGCGAAACTGAACTAAAAAAACAATGGAAAACAATGGAAATCGTGAAACGATATATGTACATGTCTCCCGAGAGTAAACGCGAGCTCTGTTCAATCAAATAAGAATGTGTGGGAGATGAGTGTCGTGTCATCTACTTGAATGTGTCTCGTTGCACACTTACGAAATCGTTTGATTCTCCTAAAAGCTGCTTGCGAACAATTCAAGAGGATGACTTGGTGAAAGTCATGATTAGTTACAAAAAGTTCGTTCGTGTCTCGCTAGCTCCACAGACCGACAAAAAGGAAGCGGATCGAATTGTTTTACGTTTCCTCGGTTCGTTTCTTCGTAAGCTGTTATATAGATACACACCTAGTCCCCCATTTACATGATTATTCAAACTTTGTGGTCGTCGGCAACAAACTAGAGGAATGCTAAATATCGAAGCTATAACAGTTTGTTAGCAACTGAAATTTCACGAATGGACTGATATTTTTTATTTTCTATTTGTATTTTATTTCACTCTACGTTGGAATTAATGAATTTAATTAAACAACAGTTTAAACGATCCCTTTCCATTTATTTATACATTTTCTCCTGCAAAAAGCCACGATTTCGATCCTTGTAGATCAAGGGATAGGTGTGCATACGTAAAGAAACCGAGCTCGTGATCTCGAGAAAGAGCCAACGGCTCGTGATCGATCGTTTGCTCGCGAATCATCGAGCACAATCGCCGCGAGTGCTGGTGCACGAGAAGAAGCGTAGCAGAGGTGTCCTAATTTCAACAATTCTCCGTCATCGATAATCGATAGAGAAGTGCATCAACGTTAATACCGAAAAAGAGCCTGCGACACACAGACACATATTTCAAGGTTGGTCGAATACAGTGCGAGTTTCCGTATGTAATTCGAGCGATTGCGCGACTCTTGGCAATCGTTGAAAGAACAACAAATTCGACAATGGAAAAATGATTCGCGAGACAAGTTCCAAGAGGGCGAAAAAGCTAGATTTTATTTAACCAGCGTGGAGAAGGAGAAAACTGTAATCGTATCGGAGAAAGAATCGACTCCACCCATGTAAGGGTTCGATAGAGGTTCTTTTAGGTTGATAAATAGCGATGGGAGTGAGTAGCTCACGAGTTTAGGACCATGATGGTTTTACTTTCATTTGAAAATTTTTCAATTATTTTTTAAACTTTATTTATGAGAAAACTGTGTCTTGGAAGTACAAAAATACTGCACAGGAACTAGATCCATGAACCTATAATAAGCAGGAAAGTTAGAGGGTAGGTGTGTCATGGAAGTTCCTTCACCAATCACGTGAGCATATTCCACAGGTGTTTCTAGTAAAGTGCCCACCTTCTGTGTGTACCTAGCATTTCTTAACATGTCTGTGCTATTTATGAGAAAACTGTGTCTTGGAAATATTAAAAAAAGGTCCTTCGGAGTTTTACTCATGGATCAACCTAAACAAGCGAGTCACATTCTTTCTCGTCAATTCGATCAAGTCGATTCTTTCTCAGAGCCAATCGTAAAGATTTCCCGGTCGAAGCTGCTCGAACATTGAGTGATCGTGCTGGTCGGCCGTATCGCCGGGCAAATCGTTAAACGAGGTACGATGTGCATGAAGAGCCGTGCGCGCAAACTCGTAAGAAGCCGCGTTTCCCCATCGCGTTCTCGCACCGTACACTAGTTCACCTGACCAGACAACGAACAAGTATATCCTTTCGACATAAGGAGGAGCCGAGGAAATTGCATGAAAGAAATACCTTACCTGTGATATCGTTGGTCAGGTTGTTGCCATTGCTGGCCGTGTATCCGTTGAGAACGCCCGCGATCGAGTCCGAGCTGGCGGTGCTCTTCGCGGGCGACGTCGAGGCGCCCGACGACGCCGACGAGGCCGAAGACTCCCCGCTGAGGGAGATATTGCTGCGCATATGATTTTTCGCGTTTGGGGTGGTGGGTGGGGCATCGGGAGGGCCAAACAGGCGTTTGTATGAATCATTACCGGGCTTGTTGCGCGGCGTTTCGTTGCCGTTGTTGCTGTTCGGAGCGTCGCCGAACAACGCCGAGCCTAGCTGTGATTGGTTGTGGTTCTTGACGCGGCGGGGGCTCGTCTCGTCGGGACCTGCTCCGAAAATGTCGCTGCTTCCACCACCAGGGGGTTTCAACACCCTGAAAAAAGAAAATCGAACATTAGTTGAAGTGATGATGGTCGTATAGGTCAGATTTAACACTAAACCTATCGAGGTTGCAGTTATACCTACTTCTATTGTAATCAAGCGAGCAAATTACTAGTCTTAAGAAAGAAACTTTTTGCAATTGAAAGCAAAAATATTTCACGTGGCGTTAAATTGAATAATGCACGAAACAATTGTATATAAGAATTGTATGAATCATTGCGCGCGAAATTGGACACTCCTTAGCTAACCAATACGCAGAACAATGAAATATCCCTGTTATTCTCGCGTATCAATCGGGATTTATAGCGCAACAGCATGAGTCATTTCTGCGCTCACGTTCTGCTATTCTTTTCCCTGTAGGGAGCTAAAAAATCACCATGCACGAGCGGCTTCTTCGTTAATTGAACCGTCTTGCTAACGGAGCGAGCTTCAAAACCGTGCCTCTCACCCCTCCTCCGTCGTTTGTCCAGGCGGAGAATGGATTCCATTCTTTTAATTGCCGTCGACTCGTCGTCCTGCAAACCCTGGGCCCCTCCTTTTTATTTTACTCTATGGCGTTTCCCTCCGCGGCCACGCAACGCGCACGCGACAAAGCGCGTGCCACGCATCCAGCCGAGAGACACGACCCTCGTTACGTGGAAATCAGCGCAGATTTATCGAGCAAATTGGATCGAGTCCTTCCGCCGTGGGGGACGAGTCATGAACCCCACGTAGGGAAACGAAGGTTCTCAACCCTTTACAAAGTGACGATTCCGCGCATGATTAAGGTAGACGAAATTGCCACGATCAGATAAGGAGGTAAATTTTGGAGTAGGTGGATTTCATGATTACTACGACCGAGTACGAGAGATGCTATTTTCAGAAAGTTTTGTCACTCTTGTTCCAAACGTTGGCTCTTTTTAATGTAACGCGTTATTTGAATGCAATTTTCTGCTGGAATATTTGCTATATTTGGTACTCAATGGAAAAAAGGATTTTTAGAAAGTCTAAAAGTACGTCCAAGTAAGGCATGATTAGGTGAAAGTAATCGCAAAGTAATCACGTGTCGACTTATGTTTCTCTGCAAGAACTCGTTAACTCGCGATCGATCAACTAATCGTTCCACTCTAATTAACGAGAGGACCGCGGATCGCTCCGTCTCGGGGGGACGTATCATAGCGCACATTTCATCGGCTGGGCGATAAATCAACGCTTCCTCGTTACGGTGTCGCGGATAATTGAACGTCCAACGTGATTTGATGGAAACGCGGACTCGAGGAAGTTCGATGTTCAACGAGCATGCCGACAACGCGTTTAATCCGCGCTCCGTTTAACGCTGAAAACTCGCCGCTAGTGGCTAATTCGACCAATAACGAAACATTGAACTTAATCGTCCGATTACCGCTCGATCTGACGGCCCAGATTACCGCCATGGAAAAGTCACGGTTTGGCAATCCAGGAAGTCCTCCACGACCGACAGAGGACGTCTAAACGCAGGTATCTAATCAGACACGAGGCTACACTTCCTTGGAATAATAGACGATGTATGGAAAAACCGTGTAGCAATTTATTCTGAACGTTTGGCTCGTCGTTCGAGTGAGTTTACACTCGTTGAACTCATGAATGTAAATCAGTTTGTTGTTGAAATTGACTTTTAAGGTTTAATAATAATATTAACTCTGGACCTTCCTCAACCAAAAATTGGTGTTCAGATAAGAGATTCGCCCGTCTGTAGCCCACGTATGATTCCGTGGAGAGATGGGGGAGTAAATAACGAGGATAATCAATCGACCGTAGGAAGCGAAGAGTCCTGGAGGGGACAGGATGGGCGCGCCGGGAAATATGCTGGATGACGTATAGCGACGCCTCTGCGTGTTCCTTTCGACGCCGAGCGTACCACCGCTCGCGTTAATAAGACCGTCAACCTGTTTTACGCGTTACGGCGACGCGTCTTCAATTATCTGCGACGAGGCGCCTGGCTTTAACGCGCAATGTATTGACGCGGGAGATAAGAGGTCCTCCAGCGCGAGCTATTAACTAGTTAATGTCGCGATATCGATCGAGTGCAAAGACAATGTCCCATAGACATGACTAGTCATCGCTTCATGGCTCGAATGCTGAATATCATCGACCTCGCGAAGAATAAGAGTCAGTGTACATCCTTACAAATGGATTATTAGATAAATAGGAGGAAGCTTCGAGCCATAGTAATTAAATGTAAGGAATTCTGAATAGGGCCTCTAATAAATTGCTTCCGAGCCCAACAACAGATTTACTTAAACAAACGGAACAATTATGATTTATTGAGACCAGGTTGGTGCTTTTGTTCGACTTTTGAAATACGAATTGAACCAGTAGGAATCGAGCATTCGTCTTCATTTTTCAACCTTTTCCAGGCACTTCCTGGTGCTATCTACCAGTTTCCTCCGACGTTTCCCATGCCACATTATGATCCCTGCTGCGCGGTGGATTTTGCTTGACTTTCCGTGCACACCGTGTGGGCTGTGACCCCGGTTGCTGAACTCACCGTACACGCTAGTAACACGTAACGCCTAACGCTTGTAAAACCACGGTGCTCCTCGCGAATAGCCACCGAATCCATGTAAACTTCTATGATTTATCAAAACCTGGCAAACTTATGCAGCAATGTTCCTGCTAATGATAGAGGATTCAAGCTACGCGCATTTGAAGAATTTTATTGTAGCTATGCTACAATTAAATAATTCCAAGAATTCCAAAGCCTCTATTCTGAAAAGCCCAACAATTTGCATTCCTTAAAGAAAAGCAAGCACTCATAGAAAGAAAGCCAGATCAAATCGAGGTCCGTCTATAGCAACGAAAGTATCTTCCGCGTAACGCACAATATTGACGCTGGCCTGTATTACGCTAATTTATTCCAACAAGTACACTCGACCAACTGGGTTGCTCTTTTCTTGCATTAAACAACCGCAAAACGACAATAAGCGGATGCGTGGATCCTGGTAGGCCCGAGAGGCGGCGTGAAAAGTGGATCAGGACACTTTCGAAAATAATAATCGTTAGCGTTCGCGAATGACGGCGACTATGTCCCCCTCTGCACCGTAAACTGTGCTAAACGCCCGCAATGCATTGAAAATTCCATCCTCGAAAGTACGATGACACCGAAGATAACCAAAGACCATCGGTCGAGATTCTCACGCACCAATTAATAACAACAAAAAAGTTGAAAATAGAACACAATCATCTACTTTGCAAGTCGTAAACGCTGATGGAGCGAAATTGGGACGCTCGCGTAATATACGACGTGACACGAAATTCTGCGTGGGTGGAAACGATACTACACGTCATAGAGGTACTCTTATCAATGTCTTTTGAGAGATATTACGTGATAAGCTGTGAAAAATTTCGTGAATCTAATCGAGGACTTGGAGCTTTCGCGAATACATTGGATTTTGGGTAGCGACTGGCACGAAATTTGATTCAAGGTAATAAAAGGAGAGGCAAGGGAGATGGTACCATCGTCCGCGACGTTCCCTTTCGTTGGACGTCGTCTTGTCACGGTAGCTACGCGACGTTATCACGAGCTCCTTCCGTCGACGAGCCATCGGCGATGTCGGATAAAACGTCCAATTCGCTATGACAAATCGATTCGACGGGCACGCGATGGAATATCCAAAATTGAGGACTAAATTTAAATACCAGACGCGATCGTAACGGGTTCAGGGTCGACCTAACCGGTCCTCGATACGATTTACAGTTCCTAAGGTCGGTGACCTTTCAGACAAAAACGGAAAAAAAGAAGAAGTAACGAAAGACAGGTACCGATACACTGTAATGTCCATCTAATTGCAAGTACCTCACAATTTGTCTCTATTTTGGCACTTAACTCTTTGGCGACTTCCGCTGTACGATTCGTCTTTAATTCCCCTCGCGTGTCCAGGATCGCAATCAAGTATTATTACTGCGCATTAAAGTGCATCGAAGAAAAGAAGGTAGTTGTTTTATTTTTGTTATCTAAAAATATGCGTTCAGGTCGCGAGAGATTTAATGGAGACGCGATTTAAGTAATTCGACGCGAATCGGGAGCCGCAATAATCTAGCTGAGAACCGCAAATTGCCGACCATTGCCCTGCGCACAGTACACATCCTCGTGGGAATGCGCGTTACCTCGCCTCGTATGAGCAAAAAGGCTACCTAGAATGTCCATTTCGACCCACGATACTATCGCTGGCCATTACTCTACTTCCACGCCAGAGGTACAGGACGAACGCACAATTCGTATCGTTTCCTTCGATTCCAGCCATTAATCCTGACCATCTCTTATCACCAAATACTAGGTGCTCCACTTTACTGATACTAGACGAGTTGCTGTCTCACCTTTTCCCTTCTCGGTTCTATCGGAAAAGAGCACAGAGGCATTTTTCATGGGACTGTTCAAGAAAAACTATAGTATCCAATAAAAGTTAAGTTAATGGTCGCGAGGTATCAATTTCACCTATTATACCAAGTATTGATCGCAGAAGCTTTGGTACCGATACGATTAGCACCAAGTACTCGAGACCTCGGTACCTTTCGATGCTTCCTACACCTTGCTTCCCACACTTTAATATCGATACCCAATCGAGCCCAGCCTAATGCTCGCGTCAAGCTTCGCGATTGGTGGAATCGGGATGAAGAGGGGTTTCGCGCGAAAAATGTTCACCTGAAGGATGAAGACAGCTCGGTTTAAGGTGAGCGAGGAAGAAAGAGACTGTAGGACGAGGGGGTTCCCGCCCAAACGGATCGTTTTTCTGTAGGCGCAACCGCAATAAGGAGTCACGCTCGAGTACTCGTCCTAGCTCCTGGCAACTCCGTGTGAGGTCCAGAAGGAGGATGTCGATAACAAGGAGCGGCATTGTGGTCGATACACCAATCTTTATCGCGTTTCGGACAATGGTCATTGTTCCGGGCGTTTAATTACCGCGCAAGCTAATACTTCCTCGATTTCACGTTCGGCTAAATATTTGCCACGGTGGAAACTCGCGTGTTCCTTCG